TGGAGTCTCACTCTGTACCCAGGCTAGAGTACAGTGGCACAGTCTCGGCCCACTGCAACCTCCTTTCCTCCCCAGGTAGTTCAAGCAATTCTCCTGCCTCAGCCTCCCAAGTACCTGGGATTACAGGTGTGCACCACCATGCCTGGCTAATTTTTGTCTTTTTAGTAAAAATAGTGTTTTGCCATGTTAGTGAGGCTGGTCTCAAACTCCTGACCTCAGGTGATCTGCCACCTCAGCCTCCCAAAGTGTTGGGATTACAGGCGTGAGCCACCATGCCCCACTAATTTGCTCAATTCTCTATATCACTTTTTCTACATGATTAAATATAGTCAGATAATTTATCTGTTCCATTTATTTTCCTGAACCGGTAGCTCTGGAAGCCCTCTACTTTCCTAGTCTAATGTTTTTTTTTTTTTTTTTTTGGATTGCAGCCATTTATTGAAATTGGAGACATTTTTAATCTTCTTGAGACTCCATATCAGGCTGTCTACAAAGTCCACTGGGAGGCCAAGGATCATTTGAGCCCAGGAGTTTGAGGCTGTGGTGAGCCTCAAAGGGCCACCGCACTACAGCCTGGGTGAGGAAAGACCCTTTCAAGGGCGAAACTGCATGCTTGCTTGCTGTGGTCATTAAAAACTCTAGTTTTTAGGTTAGCAGGTCTGCCTGCATTTCTTCAAGCATGAATCCCAACCTTTGCTTCTTCAAAAGTTGCCCCCCAACTTGCTCCACACAGTGTAGTCAAACCAACTCTCCATACCTTTAAAAGGTCTCCAACATCTGCACCCAAGCAAGCCATCCATGGATAAAAACGTTACCAGCAGAACCCATAAAGCTGGTCCAGGCAAGTTGGACTCCACCATTTCAACTTCTAGCTTTCTGTGTAATGCCTGTGTGCCAACAGCTTGAGTTAGGCTTGCTCTTTAGGACTTCAGCAGCTATTCTCATCCTTCCTTTGGGACACAACTACCCATAAGGTGCTATCGAGAGCCACATTGCATCCGCACCTAGCTCCAAGCCTGACGAGAGCGGCCTCCTACCTCGAAAGGCTAGTCTAATCTTTATTCATGCCAAACAGCTGTCATTCTAGGATTACCCTTTATCATCATCGTGAGGATTCTCTTAGACTCGGCTGTTTATTTCCTCTTTTTACCTTTTTGTTATTTTTTTTTCTCATTTATATCTCCATGAAAAATATATTTTCTCCTTTAAGAATCCAAGCTCTTTCTGTTTTTTGAGTTTACTCTTTTTCTTTTTCCTTTCTTTTTGAGACAGGGTCTCGCTCTGTTGCCCAGGCTGGAGCGCAGTGGCCCAATTATAGCTCCCTGACACCTCCAACTCTTTGACGGAAGGGATCCTCCTGCCTCAGCCTCCTGAATAACTACGACTGCTGGCACATGCCACTATGCCCAGCTATTTATTATTGTTGTTTTTTTTTGTGTAGAGACAGCGTCTCCCTATATTGCTCAGGCTGGTCTCGAACTCCTGGGTTCAAGTGATCCTCCTGCTTTGGACTCCCAAAGTTCTGGGGTTACACGTGTGAGCCTCTGTGTCCAGCCTCGGTTTACTCTCTCATTTTGGTGGCACACTTTCTATAGTAGCTTTCCAAAACAAAGTTATGCAAAGTAATTTTTTGGAGACTTTGCAAATCTCAGTATGTCTTAATTTCCCTTTCACACTTGATTGGTAGTTCTCAAGATATAGAATTCTAAATTAAAAAAAAAGTTTTACACAGGATTTTTAAGGCATTGCTACTTTATATTTCTAGTGTTTGTTGTTAAGGCATTTAATATCATTCCAATTATCTCTCTATACCTTGTATGATACTATTATTTTTCCCTTAAAGCTGGAGCATACTTTCTTTATCTCCTAGTGTTCTTTTTTTCCTTCCTTTCCTTTCCTTTCTTTTTTTTTTTGAGACAGGATCTTGCTCTGTTGTCCAGGCTGGAGTGCAGTGGTGCCATCTTAACTCACTGCAATGTCCACTTCCCAGGCTCAAGCCACTCTCCTACCTCAGCCTCCTGAGGGGCTGGGATTACAGGCTCCTGCCACCACATCAGGCTAATTTTTGTATTTTTTTAGTAGAGATAGGGTTTCACCATGTTGGCCAGGCTGATCTTGAACTCCTGATCTCAAATGATCCTCCGATCTCTGTCTTCCAAAGTGCTGGGATTACAGACATGAGCCACCATGCCCAGCCAGTTTTGGTCTTTTTAAATGGGGTCTTGCTATGTTGCTCAGCCTGGTTTCAAACTCCTGGACTTGAGTGAGGCTTCTGCTTCAGCCTCCTAAAGTGCTGGGATTACAGTTGTGAGCCACCATGCCCAGGTGAGTATATACTTTTAAAACAATCATTTGTTCTCATTGGGGCCAGGTGTAGTGGCCTGTAATCCCAGCACTTTGGGAGGGTGAGGTAGGTGGATCACTTGAGAACAGGAGTTCGAGACTCGCCTGGTCAACATGGTGAAACCTCATCTCTACCAAAAAATACCTCCCCCCTCCAAAAAAAAATTAGCCAGGCGTGGTTGTGCATGGCTGTAGTCCCAGTTACTCAGGAAGCTGAGGTGGGAGAATCACTTGAACCCCGGAGATAGAGGTTGCAGTGAGCTGAGATCTTGCCACTGCACTCCAGCATGGGTGATAGAGTGAGACCCTGTCAAAAAGATTTAAAAAACCACAATCATTTATTCTCATTGTATTGATGTTTTGGGAGAGGAGAAGGGATAGATATATAGTTATATATATTATGTTAGAACTGGCTCAATTGGCCAGAAACTAAAACATTGAAATGATAACACCAATGGTGATAAGATTGTGGTGAAATCTTATGTGGGAAGTCTATTGTGGGAATACATACATTGTTGATATCAGTTTAAAGTAGTATAATTCATTTGCAATATAGAAATATGTTGCTATTTTTTTTTTGTCCTTTTTTGTTTGTCTGTTTTGAGACAGAGTCTCGCTCTGTTGCCCAAGCTGGAGTGCAATGGTGTGATCTCGGCTCAGAGCACCCGCTGCCTCCCAAGTTCAAATGGTTCTCCTGCCTCAGTCTTTCAAGTAGCTGGGATTATAGGTGCCTACCACCACACACTGGCTAATTTTTATATTTTCAATAGAGACGGGGTTTCATCACGTTGGCCAGGCTGGTCTCTAACACCTGAACTCAGGTGATCCACCCGTCTTTGCCTCCCAAAGTGCTGGGATTACAGGGGTGAGCCACCATGCCCAGCCTGTTGCTATGGTTTTAATATGTCTCCCAAAAAGCGTGTTTTGGAAACTTAATCCTCAGTACAAGTGTTGGGAGGTGGGGTCTAATAGGAAGCATTTAGGTCATGAGGGCCCCAAACTCATGAATGAATTAACGCCAATTATAACAGGGTTTGACGCTGCAAGTTTGCTCTCTTGCTCTCTCTCGTCCTCTCCTGCCCTTCCATCTTCTGCCAAAAGATGATGCAGCACAAAGACCCTCTTCAGATGCTGAATCCTCAGTCTTGGACTTCCTAGCCTCAAAATTGTGAAAACTAAATCTCTGTACTTTATAAATTACCCAGTATCAGGTATTCTGCAGTAGCAGCACAAAATGAATTAAGACATCTTGAGTTATGAAAATGCTTTGACTTTTATTTTATTATTATCATGATTATTTTTTGAGAGGGAGTTTTGCTCTTGTTGCCCAGGCTGGAGTGCAATGGCACGATCTCTGCTCACTGCAACCTTGGCCTCCTGGGTTTAGGCGATTCTTCTGCCTCAGCCTCTGGAGTAGCAGGGATTACAGGTGTATGCTACCATGACCAGCTAATTTTTTTTTTTTTCGTATTTTTAGTACAGACAAGGTTTCACGATGTTGGCCAGGCTAGTCTCAAACTCCTGACCTCAGGTGATTCACCTGCCTAGGCCTCCCAAAGTGCTGGGGTTACAGGTGTGAGCCACCATGCCTGGCCAATGCATTGACTTTTAATTGGCTATCCTATGAAATTATTGTAAACAAAACCAGATGTTTATCTTTTTTTTTTTTTTTTTTTTTTTTTGGTATGGGTTTTTTTTTTTTTTTTTTTTTTTTTTTTAATTTTTTTTTTTTTTTTTTTTTTTTTTTTTTTTTTTTTTTTTTTTTGAGGCGGAGTCTTGCTCTGTCGCCAGGCTGGAATGTAGTGGCGCAATCTCAGCTCACTGCAACCTCCGTCTCCTGGGTTCAAGCGATTCTTCCAACTCAGCCTCCTGAGTAGCTGGAACCACAGGCATGTGCTATCATGCCTGGCTAATTTTTGTATTTTTAGTAGAGACTGGGTTCACTATGTTGGCCAGGATGGTCTCGATCTCTTGACCTCATGATCGGCCCACCTCGGCCTCCCAAAGTGCTGGGATTATAGGCGTGAACCATTGAGCCTGACCTGGATGTTTATCTTAATGAAAAATTAGAGGCATAAAAATTTCCAGCAACCCCAGAATGTTCAAATTTAGTAGATTCTAGCATATCCAGTTGATAATATTATATAGTAATTATTTTAAAATATGAAGCCAGGTGCAGTGCCTCATGCCTATAATCCTAGCACTTTGGGAGGCTGAGGCAGGAGCATGACTTGAGCCCAGGAGTTTTAGACCAGCCAAGGCAACATAGTAAAACCTTGACTCTATAAAAATATACAAAAAATATGAATTACATTTAAATCAAACTTAACAATAAGTGCAATGAAAAGGGCACAAACAAATGTTCTTGTGGTTAAGCAATGTAAACTTTATATTTCTATTAAGGGAACATGCAAAAATAAAACCAGTTGTTTTAATGAGGTATAATTAGGAAGATTTTATTTTTCTTTGTTTCTTTCTTTTTTTTCCCCTTAGAAACAGGGTCTTGCTCTGTCACTCAGGCTGGAATGCAGTAGTGCGATCATAGCTCAGTATAACTTCAAACTCCTAGGCTCAAGGGATTCTTTTGCCTCAGCCTCTTGAGTAGCTGAGACTATAGGTGTGTGCCACCATGCCCAGCCAATTTTTTTATTTTTAGTAAAGACAGGGACTTTCTATGTTGCCCAGGCTGGGCTCAAACTCTTATCCTTAAGCGATCCTTCCGCCTTAACCCCTCCATTGTTTTTCTTTCTTTCTTTTTTTTTTAAATTCTTTTATGTTGTTATAGAAATGTTTCCATAATTAAAAGAAAGAAAGAAAGAAAAAAAAAACACCTCAAGCCCAAAGCTGACAAAAATCTTAGTGATTGTGCCTACCAGGCCCCTTAGATGAAGATGAAAACTAAACCATTCAGCCAAACATCTGAAAGTTTCAGAACAGCCAGTTCTTTGATGCTGAGTAGACTAAACAACCAGATGTTTGACTGAAATTTCTGTTTTCATCTGAAAGGCTGACATCATGCAACTATAGCCTGAGTTCATAACTGATGTCAGTTACCATAAGGTTCAATGAGTTGTTAACATGGCCCCAGGCAGCTCTCCTGGCCTTCCTCATTTGGTGCTCAAAAATATTGTCTTTGACTTGCTCTTAGTTTTAGGTGTTACCATAGTTCTTTTATTATTCGTCATTATCTAGAGAATAAAGGCTAAACTGCTTAACCCCTCATAATGTGGCTCCAACTGACTTCACCAGCCCTGTCTCTAATCATTTCCTTCTCTGACAATGTCTATATTCTCTAGATGCTAAAGATACAGTCGCTGATTCTGGCTAGGGAATACCGCTGTTATCGTTCATGTAGCTATTCTGTGCTAGAGTGCTAGGGCTTTGTATACACTATTGAGTTTAATCTTCACTGTAACCTCTTGTGGCATTATGATTTGCATTTTACCAATGAAGAAAGTGAGGCTCAGAGAAGTAAACTGTCTTGCTCAAAGTCATAACCACTAAGTAACAGAGCCAAGACTAAGCCTATTGGATTCCAAAGCCTGTGCTTTTAATTACAACACCACAGAGACATGTACTCTAATACATTTACTAAGGTATTTTGGTGGCTACAGTGGAATTATGGAGAGAATGAGAATTATGAAATGACAGGAAACAGGTGGAAATAGGCAAAATTTTAGTCCAAGAACCATTTATAGCGTGCCTAATATGTGCTGGACCCTATGGCTAGTCCTAGGGACACAGAAAAGTCAACTATCATTTCTGCCCTGAAGGAGATATCAGACACCTAAAATTAGGTAGAAAACACAGGTGTTCTAGAAATGGAGCCAGCAGAAGTAATGGTGACATACATGTCCAGGTCAAGAGATGGAGACCATCCTGGACAACATAGTGAAAACCCATCTCTACTAAAAATACAAAAATTAGCTGGGCGTCGTGGTGTGCGCCTGTAGTCCCAGCTACTCAGGAGGCTGAGGCAGGGGAATTCCTTGAACCCAGGAGATAGAGGTTGCAGTGAGCCGAGATCGTGCCTCTGCACCCCAGCCTGGCAAGAGAGCAGGACTCCATCTCAAGATAAAAGTAAAAATAAAGCAAGAGAGGAGGATAGGAAGTATCAATGGGATAGAGAAGTTCATTCAGGAAGCCCCTCTGAAAAGTTGATATTTAAGCAAAGACCTTGTATTTTCACAAAGAGGAAAGCATTCCAGGTACAGGGAAGAACAAGTGCAAAGACCCTGCGGCTGGAGTGTGCTTGGTGTAATATGGAAACAGCAAGAACACCACATTAATTGGAGCAGAGTAAATATTATAAGAATTCTGACCTCTGCCCACCCTCCTAGGCCTCCCAAAATGCTGGGATTACAGGTGTGAGCTATTGGGCCCAGCTGCATACCTTATTTTTATTGTGCTTCACTTTATTGTGCTTTGTAGACATTGTGGGGTTTTTTCCCCCCACAATTTGAGGCTTTTGACAACGCTGCATCCAGCAAGTCTATTGGTGCCATTTTTCTAGTAGTATGTTCTCACTTCATGTCTTTGTGTTACATTTTGGTAATTCTCACAATATTTAAAACTTTGTCTTAGCTGAGTATGGTGGCATGCACCTGTAGTCGCAGCTGCTCAGAGGCTGAGGCTGGAGGATCGCTTGAGTCCAGGAGTTTGAGGCTGCACTAAGCTATAATTATGACACTGCACCTCAGCCTGGGCGACAGAGCAAGACTCTGTCTCTAAAGAAAACCAAACATGGGGCTGGGCACGGTAACTCATGCCTGTAATCCCAGCACTTTGGGAGGCCAAGGAGGGAGGATCACCTGAGGTTAGGAGTTCGAGACCAGCCTGGCCAACATGGCGAAACCCTGTCTCTAGTAAAAAAACTACAACAAAAAATTGCCGGCCGTGGTGGTGGGCGCCTGTAATCCCAGCTACTCAGGAGGCTGAGGCAGGAGAATCGCTTGACCCCAGGAGCCAAGATCACACCACTGCATTCCAGCCTGGGCAACAAGAGTGAAACTCAGTCTCAAAAAAAGAAAAGAAAAGAAAAGAAAACCTGGCTGAGTGTGATGACTCATGTCTATATTCCTAGCACTTTGGGATGCCAAGGTGGGCAGATTACTTGAGCTCAGGAGTTTGAAACCGGCCTGTGCAGCATAGTGAGACCCCATATCAATTTCTTAAAAAAAGAAAACAAAACCAAACATGCAAAAATATTAATAAACTTTGTCATTACTATCATCTGTTATGGTGATCTATTATCAGTGATCTTTGATGTTACCACTGAAATTGTTTTGGGAGTGCTACAAGCTGTGCCCATATCAAATGGTGACCATAATCCGTAAATGTTGTATGTGTTCTGACTGCTCCACCAACCAACAGTCCCCTGTCTCTCTCTCTCCTCAGGCCTACCTATTCCCTGAGACACAGCAATATTGAAATTAGGCCAAAATAACCCTACGATGGTGTCTAAGTGTTCAAGTGAAAGGAAGAGTCGTATGTCTCTCACATTGCTTTTATTATTTATTTTAAATTTTTTGATATTTATTTATTTATTTTTGAGATAGAGTCTTGCTCTGTCACCCAGGCTGAAGTGCAATGGCACGATCTTAGCTCACTGCAACCTCCGCCTTCCAGATTCAAGCAATTCTCCTGCCTCAGCTTCCTGAGTAGCTGGGATTACAGGTGTCTGCCACCCTGCCTGGCTAGTTTTTTGTATTTTTAATAGAGAAGGGGTTTCACCATGTTGGCCAGGCTGGTCTTAAACTCCTGACCTCAGGTGATCCACCCGCCTCAGCCACCCAAAGTGCTGGGATTACAGGCATTAGTCACTGCACTCGGCCATATTTATTTATTTTTCGTAGAGATGAAGAGGTCTCATTGTGTTGCCCAGGCTGATCTTGAAATCTTGAGCTCAATTGATCTTCCTGCTTTGGGCTCCCAAATTGTTGGGACTACAAGCATGAGCCACCATGCCCAGCCTATTTAATTTTTTGTAGAGATGAGGGGAGTCCTTGCTACGTTGCCCAAGCTGGCTTGAACTTCATGCCTTAAGTGATCCTCTTGCCTTGGCCTCCCAAAGCACTGGGATTACAGGAGTGAGCCAGTGTGCCTGCCATTTCTCACTATAAATCAAAACCTAGAAATTATTATTCAGTGAGGAAGGCATGTCAAAAGCAGAGATAAGCTACAGAGTAGGCCTCTTGTGCCAGTTTGCAAAGTTGTGAATGCAAAGGAAAAGTTCTTGAAGGAAATTAAAAGTGTTGATGGGCATCGTGGTACACAAGTGTAATCCCAGCTACTTGGGAGACAGACCAGAGGATTGCTTGAGGCCAGAACTTTGAAACCAGCCTGGGCAATATTTATAAATAAAGTGCTACTCCAGTGAACACATGAATAATAAGAAAGCAAAACTGTTTTACTGATGATACGGAGAAAGTAGGAGTGATCTGGATAGAAGATCAAACCAGCCACAACATGCCTTTAAGTCAAAGCCTTATCCAGAGCAATTCTATGAAGGCTACGGGAGGTGAGGAAGCTTCAGGAGACAAGTTTGAAGCTAGAAGAGGTTGGTCCATGAGGTTTAAGAAAATAAACCAGGCCTGGCACGGTGGCTCACGCCTGTAATCTCAACACTTTGGGAGGCTGAGGCCGGCAGATCATGGGGTCAAGAGATTGAGACCATCCTGGCCAACATAGTGAAATCCCATCTCTACTAAAATACAGAAATTAGCTGGGCATGGTGGCGTGCACCTGTGGTACCAGCTACTCGGGAGGCTGGGCAGTAGAATTGCTTGAACCTGGGAGGTGGAGGTTGCAGTGAGCCAAGATCATGCCACTGCACTCCAGCCTGGCGCCTGGCAACAGAGCGAGACTCTGTCTCAAAAATAAAATAAAATAAAATAAAATAAAAAATAAAAAAATTAAATTTATTTGGATGAAGTCTTCCTAAAAAGTTATTAAAAAAAAGAAAAGAAACCATATCCATTACATCAAAGTACAAGGTGAAGCAGCAAGTGCTGATGTAGAAGCTGCAGCAAGTTATGCAGAAGACCTGGCTGAGGTAGTGATGAAGCTGGGTACACTAAACAACAGATTTTCTTTTCCTTGACATCACTGATCTGAAGGCAAAACAACAGATTTTCAGTGAGGATGAAACAACCTTTTATTGGAAGAAAATGCCATCTAGGACTTATACAGCTAGACAGAAGTCAATGCCAGGCTTCACGGCTTTAAGGGAGTGGCTGACTCTCGCTAGGTGCTAATGCAGCTAGTGACTAAGTTGAAGCCAGTTCCTCATTGATCATTATGAAAATCCTAAGGCCTTTGAGAATTATGCTCTCTACTCTCCCTGTGCTCTAGAAATGAAACAACAAAGTCTGGATGAGAGCACGTCTCTTTTTTACAGTATGGATATATATATCTCCACACTCTGTGTGTGTTTGTGCGTGTGTGTATTTTTTTTTTTTTTTTTTTTTTTTTTTTTTTTTTTTTTTAGATGGAGTTTTGCTCTGTTGCCCAGGCTGGAATGCAGTGGTGTGATCTTGACTCCTGGGGTCAAGCGATTCTCCTGTCCCAGCCTCCTAAGTAGCTGGGATTACAGGCACATGCCACCATGCCTGGCTAATTTTTGTATTTTTAGTAGAGATAGGGGTTTGCCATGTTGGCCAGGCTGGTCTTGAACTCCTGACCTCAAGTGATGTGCCTGCTTCCTTTGGCCTCCCAAAGTGCTGGGATAATATATGTGAGCCACCTCGCCCAGCCTGTATGTGTTTTTTGAGACAGGGTCTTGCTCTGTGATTCAAGCTGGAGTGTAGTTGTGCAATCACAGCTTACTGCAGTCTTGATCTCTTGGGCCAAGTGATCCTTCCACTTCAGTCTCCCAAGTAGCTGGGACCACAGGTATGTGCCACCATACCCAGCTAATTCTTTTATTTTTTATATTTCCTAATAGTTTTGTATTTTAGCTATGGAGGTCAGTTACCAGAGCCAAACTTGCTCTTAAGAAGCAGAATTTTTATGTCCATTCAAAGAGTCTCTTATATCTTTCTCAGCCTTTTCACTTGCAGAGAGGAGTAAAAACTTCATGATAATGCATTCACACGGGATGCCCAATCTTTGTATTCTGTCCAGTTTCTTTCTTTCTTTTTTTTTTTTTTTTTAATAAAGATGAGGTTTCACCATGTTGGTCAGACTAGTCTTGAACTCTCAACCTCAGGTGATCCACCCGCCTTGGCTTCCAAAGTGCTTGGATTACAGGTGTGAGCCACCATGCCCAGCCTTTGTCCAGTTTCTTTAAGATAAAAGATGTAACTCTCAGTAGGGCCACATAGATGAGGAAGTTCTGTATGGAAGAGATCACATCCTTGTACGTCTTCTCTTTCATCTCCTCCAGGTCCAGCGTCAGTGTGAGGCCCTCAGTCTGGTACATCATGGCTGTGACTCACCAGCCTTCAGCTGCTGCACTCTGCTGTCAGTAGCTGCCTTGCACCCAAACTCAATTTAAAAAAAAATTTTTTTGAGACAGAGCCTCGCTCTGTTGCCCAGGCTAGAGTGCAATGGTGCAATCTTAGCTCACTACAACCTCTGTCTCTCAGGTGGCAATTCTCCTGCCTCAGCCCCTCAAGCTGGGATTACACATGCATGCCACCATTCCTGACTAATTTTTGTATTTTTTTTCGCTTAGTAGAGACAGAGTTTCGCCATGTTGGCCAGGCTGGTCTCGAACTCCTGACCTTAGGTGATCAGGCCACCTTGGCCTCCCAGAGCTGGGATTACAGGTGTGAGCCACCACGCCTGGCCTTTTTTTTTAAAAAAGTTATTTTTTTATAGAGACAGGATCTTGCTATGTTGCCCAGGCTGATCTCAAACTCGTGGCCTCAAGAGACACTCCTGACTCCAACTCCTAATGCTGGAATTAGAGATGTGAGCTGTTGTTCCTGACTTGTACTGAACTTTTTAGCCCACTGCTGAGACTTATTGATCAGAAAAAAGAGATTCCAAAAGGTTGCTGAGAAAAAGAAGAAGGAGGAGGAGGAGGAAGAAGAACAAGAAGAGGAAGAGGAAGAAGGACAAAGAGGAAGAAGAAGGAGGAGGAAGAAGAGTAATAAGAAGGAGAAGGAGAAGGAGAAGGGGAAAGAGAAGGAGGAGAAGAAGGATTACTGCTTATACTCATTCACAATGCATTTACTCACCCAAGAGCTCTAACAGAGATGTACAAGGAGATGAATGTTTTCATGCCTGCTAATACAACATCCTTTCTGCAGCCTATGGATCAAGGAGTAATTTAAACCTGCCAGTCTTACTTTTACAATTACATTTCATAACATAGGTAGTATTCTGCTGATGGATTTGGGCAAAGTACATTGAAAACTTTCTGGAAAGGATTCACCATTCTAGATGCCATTAAGAATATTTGTGGTTCATGGGAGGAAGCCAAAATACCAACATTAACAGGAGTTTGGAAGAAATTGACTCCGTACCTCCTGGATGACTTTAGGGGTTCAAGACTTCTGCAGATGTGATAGAAATAGCAAGAAAACTAGAATTAGAAATGGAACCTGAAGACATGACTGAATTGCTGCAATCTCATGATAAAACTTAAATGGATGCAGAGTTGCTTCTTATGGATGAGCGAACAAGTGGTTTCTTTTTCTTTTATTTTTGAGGTAGAGTCTTGCTCTGGCCCCCAGTCTGGAGTGCAGTGATGTGATCTCTGCTCACTACAGCCTTAACCTCCCAAGCGCAAGGGATTCTCCTGCCTCAGCCTCCAGAGTAGCTGGGATTACAGGTGTCCACCACCACGCCTAGCTAATTTTTGTATTTTTAGTAGAGATGGGGTTTCACCATGTTGACCAAGCTGGTCTCGGACTCTGACCTCAAGTGATCCTCCTGCCTTGGCCTCCCAAAGTGCTGGGATTACAGGTGTGATCCACCATGCCTGGCCTCTTTATTTATTTTTTAAATAGAGATAGAGTCTTCCTATGTTGCCCAGGCTGGCAATCATGGCTCACTGCAACCTTGACCTCCTAGGCTCAAGCTATCCTCCTGCTTCAGCCTTCCAAGTAACTAGTACTACACATGTGCACCATCATATTCAGCTAATTTAAAAGAATGTTTTTGAGGAGATGGGGGTCTCACTATGTTGCCCATGCTGTTTAGAATGGCCAAGCTCAAGTGATTCTCTCACCTTGGCCTCGCAAAGTTCTGGGATTACAGGTGTGTGCCATCGTGCCTAGCCAGAAGGTGGTTTCTTGAGATAGAATCTACTCCTGATGAAGATACTATGAACATGGTAGAAATGACAACAAAGGATTTAGAATAGGGCATAAATTTAGTTGATAAAGCAGCAGCAGGGTTTGAGAGGACTGAGTCCAATTTTAAAAGATACTCTACTATTGGTAAAATGCTATCAAATAGTGCTGCATACTACAGATAAATCTTTCATGAAAGGAAGTGTCAATTCATGTGGCAAATGCTACGTTGTCTTATTTTAAGAAACTGTCACAGCCACCCCACCTGTTAGCAGATACCACCCTGATCAGTCAGCAGCCATTAACATTGAGCCTTCACCACCAAAAAGATTATGGCTTGCCGAAGGTTCACATGATTGTTAGCATTGTGTTTTTTTTTTTTTTTTTAGCAATAAAGTATTTTTAGGCCAGATGTAGTGGCTCACACCTGTAAGCACTTTTGGAGACAGAGGTGGGCCAATCACTTGAGCTCAGGAGTTTGAGACCAGCCTGGGCAACATGGTGAAACCCCATCTCAGGCCAGGAGTGGTGGCTCACGCCTGTAATTCCAGCACTTTGGGAGGCTGAGAAGGGCGAATCACTGGAGGTCAGGAGTTTGAGACCAGCTTAGCCAACATGGCAAAACGCTGTCTCTACTAAAAATACAAAAATTAGCCACGCATGGTGGCACGTGTCTGTAATCCCAGCTACTTAGGATGCTGAGGCAGGAGAATTGCTTGAACCTGAGAGGTGGAGGTTGCAGTGAGCTGAGATTGTGCCACTACACTCCAGCCTGGGCAACAGAGTGAAAGTCTGTCTCAAAAACATAAAAAAAAATTCTACAAAAAATACAAAAATTAGCCAGATGTGGCAGCATACACTTGTGGTCCCAGTTACTCGGGAGGCTGAGGTGGGAGGATCACTTGAGCCCAGAAGGTACAGGCTACAGTGAGCCAAGATCACACCACTACACTCCAGTCTGGGTGACAGAGCCAGACCCTGTCTCAACAACAAAACAACAAAAAGAAAGTATTTTAAAATTAAGATAAGTACTTTTTTTTCTGTACTTATTTTTTTTGAGACAGAGTTTTGCTTTTGTTGCCCAGGCTAGAGTGCAATGGCTCACTGCAACCTCTGCCTCCTGGGTTCAAGTGATTCCCCTGCCTCAGCCTCCCAAGTAGCTGGGATTACAGACACCCGCCACCACACCCGGCTAATTTTTGTATTTTTAGTAGAGATAGGTTTTCACTATGTTGGCCAGGCTGGTCTCGAATGCCTGACCTCAGGTGATCCACCTGCCTCAGACTCCCAAAGTGCTGGGATTACAGGTGTGAGCCACCGTGCCTGGCCATTAAGTATGGTTTTAAAGACAGAATGCTATTGTGCACTTAACAGATTATAGTATAGGGTAAAAATAACTTTTCTGTGTACTGGGAAACCAAAAAATTTGTGTGACTCACTTTATTGCAATATTCACTTTATTGTGGTATATTCTTTATTGTACCGGTCTGGAACTGAACACAGAATATCTTTGAGGTATGCCTCTCTACCATATTTTAAAGATATAGCTTAGTAAGATTTTGCTGACAGGTCAAATTCCAGTATGAAAGAATAGAATCAAAGCTTATACCAAGGTTTTACCATAAGGAAATGAAAGACTAGAATTGTTTACTTTGAAGAATGAGACTGAGGAAGCAGCAGTATTTGAGGGAAAGATCTGAAGCTCAGTTTGGACATGCCAAGCTTTATATGCATTTTAAATATTCAGATGGAGCTGCTAAGTAGGCAATTTGATACATGAGTTGTAGTTCAGGGGAGAGATCCAGGCTAGAGATAAAAATGTGGGATTTATCAGTATGTAGATGATATTTGAGCTCACAGGACTGAATGAGGCCACCCAGGGAGTGAGTCCATACAAGAGAAAAGTGCAAGAGCTGAGCTTCACAAACTCCAACATTTAGAGGTCAGTATATGGGCAAGCAGAAAGGGAGACTGAGGGGGAATTATTAAAATTAGATTAAGTGAGAAAAGCCAGGCACAGAAAGACAAATATTGCATGTTCTCACTCATATGTCAGACCTATAAAATGTTGATCTGATAGACGCAGAGAGTGGAATGATAGTTACCAGAGGCTGGGTGAGGATAGGAGGATGCAGAGAGATTAGTTAATGGATACAAACATATGGTTTGATAGAAGGAAAAAGTTCTACAGTTTGGTAGCACAGTAGGGTGAATATAGTTAACACCAATGTACTGTATATTTCAAAACAGCTAGAAGAGGAGATCTGAAATGTCTTCTCTTTCATTTCATTATTTACACATTGTATGCATGATTTGATCATTGCATATTGTATGCATGTATCAAAGTATGATATGTACTGCACAAATATATACAATTATGTATCAATAAAAAAGTAATTTGCACAAGTCTAAAAAAATAGAAAGAAAACAAGGAGAGAGTATATCCTAGAAGTCAAATGAAGAAGCCACTTCTAGGAAAAGGGAGTAATCAATTCAATCATGTGCTGCTGAGAACTGACCCTGGGACTTGACAACATGGAGGTCATTTGTGATCTTGACAAAAGCAATTCCAATGGGATATTGGGTCACAGCCGGATTGGAAAAGTCTAAGTGAGACTTAGAGGAAAGCAAGTGGAAACAGTGAGATTAGATAAGACTTTTGAGGAGTTTTTAGTAAAGGGGGGCAGAAAATAGGATTGAAATTGGAAGGGTATGTGAAGTCACGGGAGGGTGATTTTTAAAATGGGAGAAATAATAGCACTTGCATGTGTGTGTTTATGTGCTTATAGGAATGGCCTAGTACAGGGTTTCGCAGTTTGGCACTATTGACATTTTGGGCAGAATAATTCTTTGTTATGAAGGGCCGTCCTCTGCACTGTAAGATGTTTAGAAACATTCCTAGCATTCTATCCACTAGAGGCCAGTAGCGCGCCCTGCCTCTTTCCTGGGTTGTAATAACCGCAAAAGTCTCCAGACGTTGCCAAATGTCCCTTGTGGAAGGGGAATGGCAAAATCACTCCCGATCTAGTAAAATAAAATAAAATAAAAAATTTTGGTGATGCAGAATATAGAATGGGAGAATTGCTAGGGGAAATTTCTCTGAGTTGATGAGAAGAGATGGAATCTACTGCCCAATAAGAAGAATGAGTCTGCTAGAATCACAGACTCATCCCCATTA